TTGAAGTGTCAGGGTTTTGAACTTTTTGGTAGCATTTCTTGCTAAAGATTAAACGAGTTTTAATATTATCTGTGAATTTTATTTCAGAAAAATATTTCTGTATACTTGATCTGAAAGATTGTCTTCCAGAGCAAATCTCAGAGACTTGAGAGAAAACAGAAATATTCATCTAATGGGGTGACAGATAGAGGGAGTGGGGTGGGCACTGGATTCACTAGATCACCCTTTTTATTTAACTCTGCCACAATTCTCTTTCCAGTTTTCTCTGACTCTTTACTGTGTAGGTCAACTTAGCACCCTTTTCTTCCAGGCTCTGGGTTTTGAAACTTTATGATCTAAGAGGTCTCCAATGTTGGAGAAATAGGTGGGAAATATCTGCATGATAAGCCAAATTTACAACTGCTTTCTTTTAAAAATAATTCTCTATAGGAAATACTTTGAAGGCACTGGGAATCTCCTCTTCCTGACTCAAACTGGCTACAAAAAAATACCTCACCCCATTGTTATCCATAGAGGCCTTATGCCAAGGTGCTTTGCAACCCCCATCTCCCTACTATCCTAAATTGAAATCAAAATCTTTTAACTGGTTGGAAAAAAAACCCAACACATAGAGAGTGTTATTCTAAGAAAGACAAATACCATTTGATTTCATTTATATGTGGAATCTGAAAAACAAAATAAACGAACAAAACAGAAACAGACTCATTGAGAGAACAAACTGATTGTTGCCAGATGGGAGGAGGCTGGAGGGCGGGGTGAAAAAGGTGAAAGAATTAAAAAGTACAAATTGGCACTTATAAAATAGTCACAAGGATGTAAAGTACGGCTTAGGAAATATAGTCAATAATATTGTAATAACTACATATGGTGCTAAGTGGGTACTAGGCTTATTGGGGGGTATCATTTCGTAAAGTAGGCAAATGTCTAACTACTATGCTGTGCACCTATTATATAATATTGAATGCCAATTGTAATTGAAAAAAAAAATTCATTTCCCAACTTAAAAAAAAGAGAAAAAACCCCCAAACTCTTCAATTTTTTCATGAATTAAAACTTCAACCTTATCTACTGTTGAAATAATATACTTTATTTTGGGTTTGGGGCCTGGGTTTCTTCCCCGCCCCCCAGTTTTATTCAGATATAATTCACATATGACATTGTGTAATTTTAAGGTGAACAATGTGATGATTTGCTATACCTCTATATTGAGAAATGATTACCACAATAAGGATTTCATTTCTATAAAGATCCACGAATTAACTTACTAATAAAGAGAATAATGACAACTGGAAAAATTACCATGATGTCATTAATGAACACATGAAGAATTTGTGATTTCAGAGCTGACTGTCATAATTGGCACTGTCTCTTACCAAGTGATTTGTTAAAAAGTCATCTCCTTCCTTTTAGAATCAGTTAATTCCTCTCAAAGGGAAATATCAACTATCCCATAAGGCTATTGAGAAGTTTGGAAATTTGGAAAGGCTTTTGGGTAGAGAGTAACAAGGCAGAGCAGAAATAATTATGCTCAATATTGATCTAAAAGGAAAGTAAAATTTCATTTATGAGAAAAAAAAAGTCCATACTTTATAGTATGATTAAAGTTAATATAAAGTTAGATTTATCATGAAATTTAAAGCAAACATGCATGGTCTGACTGGTTGGCAAAGGCCCCACGTTAGTTTAAAAGTGTTAGTTCTTCCAACTGGAGAAAACTGTACAACTGCATCTGCCAGTGAATGTCCAGGTGAGTCAGAGAAGTGACCTAAACACACACTGCCCCCTGGTGGTCTTCGCCCCTGCTTGCTAAGCCTCCAAAATGGCACTTGGCGCTAAGCACCAGTGACGGGATGTGTTCCTGATTGTGCACAACATTCCTGGGGCTTCAGTGAGCTTGCAGAGGGGGTCCTGGAAGGACTTTTAAAATCAATCCTAAGTTTAAGAATCTGAAAAAAAAAAAAAAAGGCCTAATCATACCTAAGTTTTCAAAGATGGTTTTTCTGTGACATTCCAGAAATAATGATTAGGTGATTTAGAATTTTCTTTAGAATACAAAAAGAATTACCATGTTCCACAGAAGTCACTTTAAATATATGTTATCATTTTGATATGAATTCTCGCTTCTTGAATTCCTTGATCTCTCCGCCATAGGAACCAAATATCTAGTTGCTTTGTCACTGGAATGATCGTTTTCAAAGTTTTGTCCAAGGAATTTTAGATTCTGTATGTATTGAACTCAAAGCTGTTCATTTTTAAAAAATCTGTGAATACTACCATGAGACCATGCAATGCTTATAGTTCTTATGGTAAGAATAAGGTACTTTCAGGAATAAAACAAAATAGGAGAGGAAAAAATAAAGAAAAGGGAGAAAGAGAGTTAAGGGAAACAAAGAAAAAATGGAAGGTGAGCTAACAAGATAATAGAATTTTATAAAAACTGCAGAGCTATTCCTAAATAGGACTGCTACTCTATTTCTAAATTGTGTATAGAAATCTTTCGACAGGAGTACAAAGAAGACAAGAGTCTATTATACCCTCAATAAAGCTGGAAGGAAAAAAAAGAGGTCATTACCCAAGTTTTGAAACAGTAGATTATACAAAATATTTATGAATTACTTGATTGGATAGAGAATCATGCCTACCATCTGATAAATGCATTTTCAAGTTACACTTCAATAAAATGTAGCACCTATGGACAATTTTTGTCATTTGAAAGATAATGCTAAAGTGGGGAGTGTTCTCTAACATACAGCATGTAACCACCATTCTGCCTGCTTTTGAGTTTGATGCTGTCTCTCACTTGTCTGTCAGATGGTTTGATGGATTAGAAAGGTGTGTGGCCCCCAGTGTTCAGTGTAAAGATCGCTTCATTCCCAAAGACCTCTGAAGCAAATATTGATGAGCAAGGTGATTATCAGGAAAATACTGATAAGCAAACTGTTAGTTGGTTTACTGTCTTACCTTCCTGGAGCAAGAATTCCTGGCATATGCAGCTATTATCTTTGTTTGGTCTCAGTATTGTTTAGAATAGGGACAGGAAATTTGTTTTAGCTTTTCAACTCTGTGTTCACGGTTGTTAATTATTTTTTAAAATAATGTGTTATATACCTTTTATATGGGCAATGTATTTTAAAACAATTTTTTTTCTTTAGCAAGCAATTATACTTGAACATTCCTTAAGAAGTTTCTAGGCTACTGATAAGCCATTCCCTTAAGTCCAATGCACCATTCTCTCCTTTAATTATAGTTTGTTCTTTCTTAGGTTGGGCAAAGGTAAAGTAGTTAGCCTCTGTGCTGGGGGCCGTGTCCTTACTAATGTGGGACCCCATGATGAAAAGGTTACAAGAGAGATGAGTTTTCCTCAGCCTTTCGGGCAACACATCTCTCTCACTAGCTGTCAGCAACCAGCAGCATACTTCCCTTTTTACCACAGAATGCTGCGTAAATATCTTTTCTGTATTCTACAGTATGTAGTAGGTTGGGCAGCAGTGGTTTAGGGTGCCATGTTTTATGGAATATGGCATCTTTTAAACACTAAAGTCACACATGGCCCAATGGAACAATCACATTATGAGAAAACACACCGAAATGAAGACCCTCTAAGGGAAGCAACATAATTGCTTATTTCTGAGTAATCAGAGCTGAATTCTAGTAAGTGAACCTTAGTTTCATTTAATAGAAAGTCTCTCTAGGTCTTAGAGACTTTTTTGAATTACTTCAAAAAATGCTTATGCTTTTTAAAGACACTCAAACAAGGAAAGACTAAGTCTATTAAACAACTGCACTCTAGGAATTTATTTCAAAGTCTTTCATTTATTTGTCCGCTGAAATACATTTTTTCCTTTTGTCTGATGAGAAAGATCAAAGTAGAATTAAAACTAATCAAACCCCAAACAAATCTGCACAAAATTCCATCTTGCCTTATGTCAATAACAGCTATTTTGCTTCTT